AGTTTAGACTTTGTCACAAAGTGATGAGAAGTTAAGGAAGGCCTTAGAGCTGTAGTAGGATATGATCTGACCTATATGTTGAAAAGGTCTCTCTAGACGTGAACAGGAGGTACCCAAAGTAAAAGATTAAATGCACAAAGACCAGGTTTCAGGCTTACAAAAGTGAGCCCACAGCTTATCCACTGAACCATAGACAGGACTCTAGTACTAAAATCCCTGCCAGAATTTTTAAAACTCCTTATCACGGGCTCCTCTCCCCTGACCCCACACTTACTTTTAGATTAACCCTCTGACACCGTTTGCTGGAGAAAGAATCATGGCCCCAGTGAGTATTAACTCTCAGACCCTCCTTGGCTGGCAGACAAACTCTGAGCTTTAAACCCCACAGCAGCTGCAAGACCACACCGGATGCCATAAATGAGGCCTGCAATATTCAGGGATGTAGCAGGTCCTCGGAGGGGCCTGTTGTCTGAGACTCCCCTTCAGCTGAAGAGATAAGAACCTACAACTGTGGCCACAGGAAATGACAAAGCAGTGACTGATCGGGGAGCCGCTGCACAGGGCTCATTACGGTGCTTGCCAGCGGGCGAGACACCCTTATCAGGGAGAAAATTGCATCAGGCCTCCTGAATTACTAGCGATTGGAAGCAGATTTCTTGGGACGCACTTTGTTAGATACCTAATGAGCAGGATACAGGCGGACAGAGCCCAAAGCTGGTGGGGCGGGGGACAAATGTCTTTGTTAAACAGAATTTGTCAGTTTCCGCTCCAGGCTCCCTGGGGAGGGTTCAGGGCTAGCTAATTGAATTAAGAGCATGTGCGCTCCAGCGGGAAGGCTCAGGGCGGGGCGAGAGTCAGGGAGGCCGGAAGGTGGGTACTTTCAGCACCAAGGACAGCAGCTGCAACCTGGCTAGTCTGTAATTGCCAGGGCAGGCTGGAACTGCTGCATTTTGCATGATCAGGGATCTGGGGAATGGAATGAGTAGGGGGAAGCAGAAGATGTTAGTGGTGGAGCGGGAAAGAGATGACCCAAGAAGCCTTGAGCTTGTGATACTGTTGGTCTGGTCTGTCTCAACAGACCCTCCTGCAGGCAACAGTGGAAGGGGTGTCTTCTCCCCACCATATCACTCATGTGTTGTGGGGCAGCTGCAGCAGCACAAGGGAGCAATGGGCTGTGCTCTGAGTCTGAGCCAGTACATGTCTGTGCATCACTTTGTGCTTTCAAAGTAGGTCTCCAATTACAGCCCTAATGAAGCAGGACGCACTGCAGCCCTGGNACAGCAGCTGCAACCTGGCTAGTCTGTAATTGCCAGGGCAGGCTGGAACTGCTGCATTTTGCATGATCAGGGATCTGGGGAATGGAATGAGTAGGAGGGAAGCAGAAGATGTTAGTGGTGGAGGGGGAAACAGATGACCCAAGAAGCCTTGAGCTTGTGATACTGTTGGTCTGGTCTGTCTCAACAAACCCTCCTGCAGGCAACAGTGGAAGGGGTGTCTTCTCCCCACCATGTCACTCATGTGTTGTGGGGCAGCTGCAGCAGCACAAGGAGCAATGGGCTGTGCTCCGAGTCTGAGCCAGTACATGTCTGTGCATCACTTTGTGCTTTCAAAGTAGGTCTCCAATTACAGCCCTAATGAAGCAGGACGCACTGCAGCCCTGGAGCCACAGAGCGAGTGCCCCTTGCCAGGCCCCAAGCTGCCTCAGCAGGCGGGGCAGGGCCTGCCCAATAGAAAAGCAAGTAAGCAGGCTTGTGGGGTGGGCCAGCAACCCCCACCCCACCCCCACCTGGAGGAAAGGCTGGGCCTGAATAGGGAGGAGTTATCTCCAAGGCTCCACTTTCTCTCCCATCCCCATTTTATTAATAGCATTGCCCCCCACCCCCACTCCATCTTCCACTTCCAGCAGCCTGGCCCTTCCCTTTGGTCTTATTGTGCTCCTCTTGAGGAAGGCGCACAATCCCCTCCCCAAAATGGGAAGACTGAAGCTAAGGAGCCTGAAGAGGTAATGTTGGCTTAAAGAAAGGGGACTATTAGGGAGAACTGAGGCACTTTGTGACGCACTGTGGTCTTCCTGGGGCCCTTAACCTCACATGATTTGCAGCTGCCTCTGGCCTTCGCTGCAGGGCCTGTGCTGTGTGGAGGTCTAAAGACTTTTCTACAAAAGTCACCCATCCACCTTGCTTCCAACCCCCAGGCCAAGATAAATCCTGGCAAAGTTGATTGGAAATGTGGGCAGGAGACCTGCAGGGTTGGTGTGGGATGGAGAGGTGCTGGCATGAAACAGCTATGGGAGCAGATACAGGTCAAGGCCAGCCACAGATAGGGCAGAGCAGAGCAGAACCACTCAGTCTGGCAGGGGGTCAGGAGCTGGGGGTGGGCAGTCCTTAGATAGGTCTGCCTTTCCTTCCTTCCTCCTCAGAACACCAGAGGCTGATGGGGTGAAAGCACTGGGCTGGACTGAGGGCTCAGTCTCCTTTTTATTTTATCTTTGTGATGAAATTAAATGAATTATACATAATAAGTTTCAGAATCCACATAAAAGTACCAGGTGAGTGCTCAGCTCCACTCAGGGGCCCAGTAAATGTCAGCTGCGGGTCACTGAGTTGACCCAGCTGGTGCTGGGGCCACACTGGGTGGCTGTCAGGGAGACCTGCTGTGGAAGAGAGGACTCCCTCAGCAATGTGTCCCTGCTTTCAGGAGTGCTGGGGCACCTCTAGAGACCTCTCTCTTGATTTCATTACTCCTACTTCCTCCTCTAACTGGATTAGACGGCAGTCTGAAATCCAGGGCATCGAAATTGGCTTTCTGCCTAGAAATGAAGAGAAATGTCATTATAGGTCCTGATTCAGCATCTCACCCCAGCCCCAGGGGCCACATCCACAATGGGGAGTTAGTCTTTGCCCTGGCTGGTTACTCCTTCCATCGTTGTCTCCTGAATCCATCCATCCACCCATCCACCCATTTATCCATCCATCCATCCATCCATCCATCCATCCATCCAACCAGTATCTATTCTGTTGTTCTCCCTCTGCAGCCAGTCCGGCGTTTAGCTGTTCTGACCGAGAGATGTGCTTTTTCCTATATAAAACAGACAACCCCAAATCCCCAAACCATCTGACTCAGGCGCTACACAGAGGCGCAGGACATGTTGAGCAGGAGCCTCCAATTGCCTCTTGCCCTCGCTGAACCATAGCTACTGAGAGGAGCAGGTGAGAGAGACAGCCAGATCTAGTGCCCAGGGACAAAACAGGCCCAGGATCTTGGTTATGAAGTACAATAGGTGCTGTAGTCAGCCTCAGGGCTGCCCAATGCTTCACTCTTCCCATTCTAAGAGTCTTCATATAGCTGCTTTCTCTTTGGAATTATCTCTCCTTGTACATATTTGATGGGGGGGTGGGGGTAAAGGGGATAAAATGAGTCCCAGACCAGGCTGAAAACCTCTGTACTTGTGTGACTATCCCTTACTCTACTGACACAAACCTGAGAAGCCTTCATGTTAATGAATTTCTGCACACCAAATTTTTTTAAAGGGCATAAAGGAATCATTTAAAGGATCCCAATGGCAAAATGAAGGGTCATTGTCCTAATTTATCTGGTTCATATGTGTGTGTTTTCATACAGAGTAGCCACTTAAAGAAGGACCCACCTACATTCATTCTCACCTATTTATTACAGGTCAGACATTCGGGCACCTCTAACCCCGAACACATCTGTTCTGGTTGGCACTGTGTCCATTGTTCTATTTGTTTCTAGCACAACACTCCAGACAGTGGCATAAATGTCTGCCATGTGGCCAAGGCCGAATTCCATCAGCTGATGGAGGGTGGAAGTCGGTCACCTTAGAGGTCCCTACAAATTTGATACTGCATTATTCTTTGAACAATGAGCACTTTTTAGGGCTAACCATGGATTTTCAACAGAACTTTAAAGTAACCTCTACCCAAGGGGAGCATAAGACATGTGCTTGAGTCCAAGGAACTTGAAGTGTTTTTAGAAAAACAAAAATGGCAAACAGTCTGGAAATTAGAGACCAGTGTAAGCAGAGAGAACCAGCTGCTGGGCTGGAAGAACCTAAAAAAGCTTCAAGCAAGTGTGGGCAGAGCCATTAGGCTTCTTGGAAGGGCTGGCATCTGAGTGGAGTTGAATTCTATACAAGCAGAGATGAGAGTGATAGCCATGCCAACGGGGGAAGAAGAGGCTAGGAAAAAGGACATGGAGGGAGAAGGAGGATTATCAGAGAGAGCGAGAGGAGAGATATGCTCCGTTTACTGGGTGATAGATAAGAGGAGAGGATAATAGAGGAGATGGAGTGGAAAATGAGTCTGCACAGCAAAGGGCATCACAGGAGGGAGGAGGCTTCAGAAGCTGTTGTGTACTGCACTGAATTTGGAAGTCATAGATGGTATAGTTTATTCTTTCAACAAATATTTATTGAGTGCCTACAATGAAGGATAAACAAGGTCCTTGCTTACATGTAACTTACATTCTAGTATGGGGATTGGAGGAGGAAGGCAGATAGTAAACAAGTAAATGTAAACAAGTAAAATGTGAATTAACTTTCACACTTTTGGAAAGTTAATTTTCTGGTAGAGGAAGTACTATGAACACAGTAAAATGGCATGCGGATAGAGAGTATATTGGAGGAAGTGTCACTTTCGATAGGATGGGCCTCTATCTCAAAGAGCAGGGCCTCTCTGAGAAAATCACATCTGGGCTGAGTCCTGAGTGAAGAGAAGGGAGCAGCCATGGAAAGACCCACGAGGCTCTCCAGGTAGAGAGAACAGCAGATGCAAAGGCCTTGAGGCAGGAGAGAGCTTGGCTGTTAGAGGAACAGCAAGGACAGTGTGGTCAGGGCCCAGTGAGCAAGAGGGCAGGTGGCAGGCGGTAGACAGGAGCCAGAGATGATGGCCTCCTGAGCCACACGGAGGAGAGGCGTGGGTGTGGAAGGAGCACTTGTGGTAGAGAGGCACAGAAAACGTCTCCGCACCTTCTCTTCCCAGAGGCCAGAAAACTTCTTAACACCAAACAGCAGCAAGGTCCTACCCATCCTGGACCCCAGGGTCTTAGATGAGAAGCTGGGTTCCATCCATGAGTCCTGGTCCAAGGCCACAGTCAGCTCCACAATGGACTCCAGCACATCCACTGGTCAGGAAGCAGAGGAAGAGCCTCAGAGGCCCCAGATGTGCCGTGAGATGGTGAGTGGCTCCCTCCGCGGGGCGGGAGGGTCTGGAGCAGTGGCGCGGGTGCTGCGGAAGAGGCTTGACTGCCCTGGTGGGCCTGGTTAACACCTCAGGTGGCAAATAGACCTCCCCTTGGGCACGGTTTGCATGTGAGTTACCCCAAAGCCAAACTTGTGGAAGGTGTGGGTTCTTCATTTGACCTGGTTTCTTTACCTTTTGAATGGAACTTCCATATGATTGCCTTCAAAACAAACCCTGCAACACTCGTATGACCTGGTTCCATTTACTCAAGCAGTCCTCAACTCAGAGCTTCCTCAGGACCATGTCCACTGGGCATTGGGAGCCGCCTGGAGAGATTAGTTTGAGCTTCTGAAAGAGGATATTGAGCCTCAAAGAAAATAGGACACCATCTTTGGTCATGGAATCTGTGTCCTTGATCATGAGAACTGGTCAGATGCTGGGAAAGGATGGGTAAAGGTGACCAAGGTGGTGTGTCTTAATTTGGTGAGGGACCGGTGCTGAGTCCTAGCCCCTTGATGCAGAGCTAAAGTGCGGGCCACCAAAGAGACAGCCCAGGCAAAGTCCCTTATTGAGGTACCTTATTGAAGAACCATGGGTGAACTCAAGTGTGGCGTCCTCCCTTCTTCCACAGCGGGTCCCATGGGAGATCCTGAGAAAAGGCCCAAGCCAAGGCCATGGGCCCATGAGGAAGCCCTGGGCTGCCTCCTCTCGGGACCCGCCCCTCTCCACCGACAGCCTTCGCATCTTCCCCTGGCACTTCTGCACCTTTCTGGAATCTGTCCCATCAGACGAGTAGAAAGGGTTGCTATGTGCTGTGTGTGCCCAAGATGCTCCCACACGGAGTGCTCCTGCACACTCCAGAGCTCTCACAGTCCACCTCTACACTCCCTCCTCTCACCTCTGCCCTTGGGGAAAGCAGCTCTCAGGCCTGACCTCCCAGCTCAGGCAGCAGTTGGGTCGGAAATAAAGATTCAGACTCTGTCTCTGGAGACTTTGAAAAGCATGAATGAACCAATGCCCGCAGGTAGTCTTGATCTCCTCTTAAGAGTTAAACCATAAGAGATGGGGAGACACTGCAGCTGGAGGAGTCAAGGTTAGCCAGGAGGAAGCACTGTTTGGAAGTAAGAGGTTGAGTAACCATTGTGAGTGGCAGAGGCGAGGAGAAGTGGCCCATTGGCACTCAGAAAAGATTCTGTGAGGTTCTGCGTGCAGACAAGGAGCTCAGCGCTGCCCCACACCCACAGACTGTCAGAGACATGAGTGGATTTCTATGGAGAGCTAACTCAAGCATGCCCTCTCTGAGCTAACCCCAGCACGCCCATCAGTGGGCTAATCCCTCCACCCTTCCTGCTTGCTGAGTACTTGGCAAGACCACAAGCCCTGGCTGTTCTCCCTGGTTTGCTGCAGGGTTAGGTCCACTCAGCCACCATCATCCAGCCCTTGAACTAAGAGCACACTGGCTTCCTCATCTCTGGGCCCCCGGGGCCCAGCTCAGGCCTGGCCCAACACAGATGTAGGTAAATGCTTATTGGGCCACGTGATAGACCCCCTGGCTGGACAGGAAGTACAGCAGAAAGAACTTTGAAAGCGTCTAGTCTGAGCTCCTAACTCTACAAAGGAAGGCAATGAGGAAGCCCAGAGGTGGGCTGGCCCTGCCCAAGGCTTCCTGACCCTGCTCGCCTGTGTCGCCTGGCGTAAAGCCAAGTGAGTACCAGATGGCTGTAGAAGAATGATGAGTTGGGGGACTGAAGGCAGGGGTGGATCTTTTAGCACAATCCCCAGAGCCCAAGAAACAATGGAATGGCATCAAGCGTCAGGAATAAGGAGGGAACAGGATAGGGGCCTGGCACAGCTGGGATGGGCAAGGGAGGGGGCAGGCCCACCACCCTGAGACTATGTGAGTGTCAGGGACCCAGTGCTCGAGCTCTCTCTCTCTCTCTCTCCCCCTCTATCCCTCTCCCTCTCCCCCCTCTCTCTCTCCCCGCCCCCCCAACACTTTGCCCTCACTGGGTCCTGGAGACCCAGCTCCAGATCCTACATACTAGCCAGAGCCTGGAAGGACAATGTAGGACCCAGACAAACATTCATGTGGGCAGTAGAGCCTAGTCACAAGCAATAGAACTTGGGTGGGTAGCAATGGTGTACAGGTCTGTGACAATCACAAGTAGCCATGTGGCAATGGGTCACACTGCCATAGCAACCGAGCAAAATTACAGAGCAGTGGCCGAGGTCATGCAATCAAAAGACACGGTGACAAGCAAGCGAATGCAGCCAGGGAGCAGTGGAGGGCAGTTGCTTAGCAATAGACCCAAGCCGTACAGTGCTCTCACACAGCACTGTTACAGGAAGGCGCAACCACTGGACACAGCCATGAGCGTAGAACATGGCGGGTAGGACAGTCACAGAGCAGTAGAAGATATCAGGCTAGCACTAGAACATACCTGGTGGTAATGGCATGGTCATAAGGTATGTGACTCCTGGACATGCAGCCAGGGAGTCGTCACCAGCAACAGAGCCTAGGGTGTAGCAGTGGCCCCAGTGACGTGGCAGTGTGGTGAGCACAGGTTTAAACCGCCCCCTCTGCTCTCGGTCACTCTATCCAGGCTCTGAGCCTCAGTGCCCCTCAGTTCCCAGAGTGTGTTTGTCTATGTCTAGTCCTTTAACATGCTCCCCAGAGCCCAAGAAACAATTTTGCCTCTGATTCCTCCAGAGCCTACTCTGCTTAATGGGAAATTGAACATTTTTTGGAGAAAGGAGCACCTTGGGAATGGAGAAGGGAGTGGAGGGGACACAGGTCTGTACCCTCTCTTCAGGGAAGGTGCCGTGCACGCTTCCTGCTGCTCCAGGCCTGCCAGCCCCACACCCACAGTCCCACCAAGTCCTACTGGGGCGCCCCTCCCCCTAGTGCGCCCTTGGATCTATCTTTCTTCCCGGGTTGCAATGCAGGCAGTTTTTCCATCTCAGGCTGTCTTCATCCGGGACACTTGGTTTTGACACAGGCCTTTCAAGTGCCATTTTGTCCATGTGGTGCAAAGCTCCCATCCTGAGAGGACCACTGGGGTCAGGATCCCATGGGTATGATCTTGAGTCAAGTGCAGGGCCTGGGCAGAGGAAGGGCCTGGGTAGAGCTAAGGAAGACTTCACCTCCCTTCCGAGCAGCCCAGGAAGTCTTTTGAAAGAGGTGGGTTTTAATTGGGGTAGAGTCACCCTGAGCATGACAGCTCTCCCAACATGAACAACTTGCAAGCATCTCCTTCACCCCTTCACCCCTAGATCCCCTGCCCACCTCATGCTGAGCCAGATGAAAGCAGGCAAGACGGGGCTCCATGCTGTGTGCAGACAGGCCCGGTTCTGTTCTCACAAGGCTCCTGCGTCTGGCTCCCCAGCCCCCAGCAGCCACATCAGCAATCCAACCAGCCAGAAAACCGGAACTCCCACCCCGGCCAGGCGATCAGCTGTGTCCAGCTGTGCAAAGAGTGAGGACAGGGGAGGGCCAAGGGAAGTAAGAGGCCAAGGCCCTGAGCTCTCAAGGTTCCCCCAGCCAGCAGGAGTGAGCCAAACCTTGAGAGATGACAGGGCGACACAGAGAAGAGCACAGTAAATATTTGGTGAGAGATGAACGGCAAGGGGGCAAGGCTGAGACAATGTATCTCCTTAAGTATCTAAAGCATTGCCGGACACACCTGGTGAGCCCTCAGTAAAGAGAGAAAGGAGCAAGGAAGGCTTCCTGGAGGAGGCGGGCTATGCTTTGGATAGAGGCAGATGTACTCAGTTGCTGTTCAAGAAGTGTGTGTTCGGTGTTGTTTCCTGTGCAGAGATTCCAGCACAAGCTCTTCCCCTCCTCTCTCTGTTTCCCTCCCTCCTTTCCTCCGCTGCTCTGAGATTTGTGGCAGACCAGAGGACCCTCATACCAGAGGATGAATAATTGACAAGGGTTGTTTAAAGATTCAGTAGAGTTTCTCCAACCTCACCATACTGGAATAACTCATTTCTTTCATTCTCTCTTTGAAAGCCTTTCCCCCTCCCTTCATCTTTCCCCATCTTGGTCCCCACATGCCACCCCCCTCTGAGCATAATGCTTTTGTTTCTCTTCCTTTCTTGCATCTGCTGGACCCCAGAATGATCCCTTAATTCCCTGGCTTCTTTGTGTCCACTTCTCCAGCCACCCCCTGCCACACACACACACACACACACACACACACACACACACACAGACACACCGCCCCTTTTAACCTGTTCCTAAGGATGGTAAGTTGACTTCAGCTCCTCTGGACACTGTTTCCCCCAGAAAGAGGGACTCACTGCATGGGTTAGGAGAGGGCGGAAGGCCAGAGGGAGGCCAGCGGCTCCTCACAGGTCACACAGCAGGGGAAGTGGGGCCTGGGCCACAGGAGACAGGAGGGCGAGCCTCCTAGCCCAGGCCTCACTTCCCTCCCAGGCAGGTGGAGAGGTGCTGGCTCTGTCACACCTTCCCAGGGTGGCCTGGAGCACTTTGTGTCCCTGAGCCTCGATTTTTCCATCTGTAACACAGGATGTCACCCTGCCCTACCTTCCTCTCTGTGTCTGCCTGGCATGGCTCCAGGGTGACCAGCCACCCTTGTTTGCCCAGGACTGAGGAGTTAGGAGGACTAAAACCAAGATAGTCCCAGGTAACTTGGGTCGGGTTCACCCTACATAGCGGGGTCTCCCCTGCCCCAGCCCTGCTCCATGCAAGGTTGCTGCACCCACAGCCACAGGGCACATACCCTCTGCCCACCAGCCTAGCTCCACACTGTCCCCGGCACTCACAGTGTACTTACCAGCTCCTTGAAATGACCTTGAACTCCCTTCTCCATTCTAGACTCCAGTTCCTTCCTCTGTCTGTGGAGGAGGTTGGAGCAGATGTTCCCCAGTCGTGGGGCTCCTAAGCTGTGATGGGAGCCTTGGTCCTAGCCCGCTGCCCCCCTGCATTCCCCCCTCATGAGGTCTGCAGTCTGGTGAGGCTGAGGCTTACC